TATTAAATCTGTTTGAGAATTGTTATCAAATTCTTGGGCAGAACAAAAATCTTTGACCAGTTTTGGAAAAATAGTTACAAACTTCAAAAGGAACTTTTGCTTGTGATAAATACTTCATATTTAATTCCTGTTTTCAAAAGGGTAGTAACAAATATTTAATCCATTATTAATACTATTAGAGAATTCTAACACATATACCAAAATTATAACAATTAAGTGGTTCGTTACAGAAACTACATAAAAATGATAAGCTGTGTCTATGAGAGCAATGATATTCAGTGTATTCGTTTTACATCTACAGGTAAATTCTGGGTTGGTTTGATATTTTTTTCTTTTCTTATAAATGTAGTTTTTTTCTTCTTGTTACCGTCTGAAGAAGTTTATAAAATGTTTACGTACCAATTTTACCAAAAATAACAATTATATAAAAATTACATTTAGAGTTTCATTTGCCTACTCCTACTTTCTAACACACACATCAGTCAACCTTAACATGTAATCCTTTAACACCCTAACTCTTCCCTCTTAACAGAATTCTGCTTTAAACAATTATATAGTTGACCTGAATATTATTTTATATTTGTAATTGTTGAAGCTTTTTGAATTAAATTATGTGCTCCTTGAGATTGTGTTCTGTAGGGATAGATGCTCAGTTGATGCTCATTAATATCCATGGAATTACATTAACTCATATATCCATTCATTCATTCACTTACTAAACACTTAATATGTGCCAGGACGCTGTTCTATGCTACAGACACAAAGATGAAAAAGAAACAGTCTCTGTTCTTAAGCTGCCCAGACACCTGAAGAATTGTGGTGGACAGAAAAATAGCCCCCTAAAAATAACTATACCTCAACCCCCAGAACCTGGGGACATAGCAGTGAACAAAACAGATAAAATCCCTACGCTCATGGAGCTTGCATTCTACTGGGGGGAACCAGATGGTAAACAAAATTAGTAAATAAATTAATGTTAAAGTAGTATTAAATGCTCTGACTAGAGAAATGTAAAGAGACAGAGTGTGTAAGTGTGGGAAAGATATAGATAAGGCAAAATTAGACAAAAGAACCCGAACTGAGAAATTGCCTTCTCTAATAGTGTGTTCAACTTTTCCTAAAATCAGGAAGAATTGTCTTTTGTGTTCAATGGAAGATTTCTTTTTAACATACTGATAATTTATTCAAGCTCATTCACGTAACAATATTGCAAATGAAATAAAGATGTTCAACACAAAAATCACTGGTATTTTCAGGATTCCCAATTACTACTGTTACAATATACGGAAAGTTGGGTGATTAGTTGGTCAGACTCAATACTAAGTATCAATTAGAATTACAGTATTGGAGTATTTTAGAATCTTGCAGATTTTGGATGCCCTGGACTTGAGAAGTTACATGACCCTGGGCTGACTTTATCCCTCCTTCTGATACTGGATTTTGGGTGGTTCAGTAATACTAATACAGTCCTTTCCATGTGTAATACATTAAGTACAACTGATTAACAGGGAGTAGCAAAGAAAGCACGGAAAATTGAATTAGTGATGAATTTAAATTAAAGGAAAAATTCAAATTTAAATAACTAGTTTTACATGATATTGTTAACATAGTAAAATAATGCTTAAAACTCACTTTGAAGTGTTTCGAGTTCAGTTCTAATAAGTGCATCTTCCTTTTCCTTCAATCTCGTTTCCTTGTATTTAGCATAAAACTGCCCAGCATCCTTAAAAAAGAAATTATAAATCACCATAAAAATCAGTTTGCTTTGACAGTATTTTCCATATAATTCATTTTAAAGTGGCATATTCATTTTACAAGTAGGCTTTTTGTTTGTTTTCAAATTGTATGACAAACAGAAGAAATCAATAAACAATTCTCTACGATTTTTCTCTCCCGGAGAGAAGGTTAAAACCAGAAACTGCATGAGTATAAATTTAAACTCTTTTCTCTCAGATATAGAAAGGAGGTATCATCTTCCTGTTTTCTTCCATTGTATTTTCCATTCCATTTGTTCCATTGATATTTTCTCAATATTATACTATTGCATGGACAGAAACCAGAAAAACACACTTGCTAAACTGAATTATTTGCCATGGTAAATTATATTACCGTGACTAATAAAGTACTAGCGCTATTTTCATCTCAGTCTCTTAACTCCAATAGATTTTCAAAATTATTACATGCAAACCTGATCGTGAAACTTATACGACCATGTAGATAAAAGCAGAAGCTGTCATTCCTTCCGCCACCCTTAGAGACCAGTAAAAAACACTTATCATGGATGGTTGAGGATTGAGGACGCATACTGTATACAAATACTTAGGTGTCAAGATACAGGGGCTAAAGTCTCAATGAATGGCACATAGATAAGACTTTAGCAGGGTACCAAAAAGCAAACAAACAAAAAAGGACTAGGTCTTAAATAATCACAGACATAAAAATAAACAAGTTGATGTTCTAGGCATATGATGATCCAGACAATGAAAAAAAGCAAAGCAGATCTTTTCCCACACTCTGTGACTTTCTTGACTCCAACTTCATATATTCTATAGCAAAACCACTTATAGCTGCCAGGTCACACTGTGTTTCCACATCTTTGCATTTGCTATGCCCGTTAGCCAGAATATTTTGTTCCCCTGCCCATTACAAACGAACTCCTATTCATCCTAGAAAACCCTGTTCAAGCACTATCTCCTCTGCAAGTCTTTCTGACCTTCTCCAGCTGGGTAATTTTCTCTGGTATACTACTTCTGTACTTAACCACCCTTTGATTGCTTGTATCATGATACGTTCTCTCCCAGATGAGAAATTTGAGATAGGGATACTTGTATGACCAGAGGGTGGTAGTTGGCATAAAGCCATCACTCAATAAGTGTTTATTGAACTGAACTAGATTGAAATATATGAGAAACCTTATAAAGCAAGAAATGAAAGGGCTTGATGACTGACTGATGTGGAATAAGGAAAAGAGGAATATCAAGGATAACGCTAGGGTAACATGCCCAGACTGTAAGATTCCTACAGCAGATAAATCATAGACTCAAATGAGGGGGTTTTGTTTCTGCAGGAAATAAAGGAACAAAATCAATCTTTGACACTACCTTAATCCAGACGTAAATACATGAACACTTAAGCCCTAGAATGAAATTCTCTCTGTTCATCTATTCCTGTATCCAAGTTAAAGTTTTCTCCTGGGGTCTATGTGTCTTGGGGTTATACACAACTCTTCTAACTTATAAGAATTAGGAAAACAATAAGGTATTCCTAAAATCACTGAATCAGTATAATAAAGATGTATCTCCTATTCTTTCCATCACGACTTTTAGGTTCCTACCTCATTCCCACTAGAAGGATTCCCATAAACCCTGGGCCAGCTAAACAATGGCATAATTTGAAGAGCACAGATGGTCATACACCCAATTTACTCATCCTCCCATGCCCATATATAGTTTCAGTGTCTACAGGGTTTGGGGTTAAGGTTTTATGGCCCCTTAACATTCCCTATCCCCTTAAAAAAAACTCAGTCCTGAAGCAGTACTATTTTATATTAAGCCATATAAGTCATTTACACCGTGGTGTGAATGAATAAATGAGCTTATTAGCTTCTTTCCACAGAGTAGGTTTTAATAGTAGGGAAGAAGAAAAGGTCAGGAAGTCATTAGCTCCTTCAGGGGAGTAGAAAATGTGGCACCATGAAAGAAAAGAAGGGCACAGATTACGTACTTAGGAGAGGTGAAAGGGTTGAAATCAATCATCATAGTATATAGTACAGTGAGATACAATATGGTGATTAAGAGGACAGATTTGGAAGCCAGATTACCTGGATTAAGATCTCAGCTCTGCCATTTTACTAGCTATATGACATTCAGCAAATTACTGCACTTCTCTATGGGTCAGTTTTCTCATCCATAAAATGGGGATAATAAAAATACCTAACTCATAAGACTATTGTGAAGATCAAATGAGTTAATATTTGGGAAACACTTAGAATGACATCTTGTATGTAGCTAGGCCTTATATGTATTGGCTATTTTTATTATTACTTCATCATTTTGACAAGAATCTTGTCCTCCACCACAAAGCAAGGGTAAGTTTTTATGCTTCATACGTCACCAAAATTCCTCCCGCCAAATCTTGCATCTTCTTGCTTATGTGACTTCTCTTTATCCTTCTCACCTCAAGATCTTTGGCTGAGTAATAGCAACCTCTTCCTAGCAGTCCTGTCAATTTAGAATATTTCTTTGCTAATGTTTCTTCTTCTTGCTACAGCACACAATTCCACTAAAACTTTCTCTTTGAAATACTCATTTGATCCAAAACCACACTTCTCTGAGGACTGCAATCAAACCAATCACCTTAACCTACTACACCAAATCCAAGAGTTTTAATACATTCCTTAGTTTCACTCACTGTTTTATCTTCCTTTTGCTCCATTTCTAAGCATTCATTTAAATATTCCTCATGCTTTCTCTTTTCTTTGTATCTCACTTGTACTTTGAAATTATAATTATGATATGCACACTCCAGGAAGCATTACTTCCGCAATAAGCCTATGATCTCAAGTAAATCTACTGTACTGTACAATTTTCAATCATCTTTGTGTCTAGTTTTGGGTACTACACTTTAAGATGTACTGAAAAATAGGAAGACTTTAAAAGGAAAGTAATTGAATGGTGAGGCAGCTTGAAACTATATATTATACGGGATTGAAGATGAGAAGATTAGAGATAACCTGATATCTACCATAGAATATCTTAAGGGTTATTATAGGAAAGAATGGTAATATTACTATATAT